CTTGGGTGTAGAGGCTGGGGATGTGGGTCTGGATTGTGGGGATTGTTGGGGGTCCGTCTTTGGACCAATAGGAGGTGCAAGAATGATCAGGGTGGAAGGGATCTTAAGGTGTGTGCAGAGTCGATCCAATTTCGAGAAGATGTCATCCAACTTTTTAGAAAGCGCTGAGCGACTGTCCTCGAGACTGGTGATCCTTGCATCCCAGTTAGTAAAGTAGGGCAGGTGAATATCATCCTGCAGAAGGACGAACTCAGCCATGTCCTTACTATACTGACTGGAAGAACCACTCACCCTGATCTTCTCAAGAGTTTTCTTTTGGCTTCCTTCTGATCTACCTCCTCCTTGCGCTTCATCTCTTCCTTCAGAGCCTCAACTGTTGCTGCTTGTTTCCGGGTTTTTCCTTCTCAGCAAGCAGTCCAGCCTCCAAAGGGGAGAGAGGAAGTTGAGGCTTCACCTCAGCAGCTTCTCCCTTCTCAGTGCTAGACATTTTGGAATACCCACAAAGAAGACAAAATCAAATAAAATAAAACAGGAAACAAAAATGGAAGTCAACAAAAATTAGATTTTCTTCTCTCAACTTCTGTTTCTTTTACCTTCCACTACCTACTCCTAAGACTATCTAGAGGGGACCCCTGCAAGCATAGTTTCCTCTCTATGTGAAGGGGAAATTTCATGTTGCCCCTTGCCCCTAATGGTTAGGGTATAGGGTTGGGGCCGCGAGTGGGGGTTTGGCTAACACAAAGACCGAGACCTGCCAGTAGTTGTGCCTCCCTTTCTCATCGTCCCCCACCCTTCATCGAGTAGCAGCAGAGGCTATGGCCAACACTCTCCCACACACCACACACAACCCACTCGCACTCACACTCACACCCGTGTTGCTCATAGACCCCGCTAATACCGATCAGGGGTATCCAGAGGACTATCGCAGTCCATTGGCACTAAGTGCGCCGCAGGCGGCCATGGGGCTTGAACCCACAACCTCCTAAATGCCACTTGCATGCCTAACCAACTGATCTCGCGAGTACTTGATAAACTATTGTCGCCTGACTGAGGAAAGAACTTGGTTAGTACCAATAGGAAAGTGCTTCGTCTATGCATACCACTTGAGGGTCAGGGACCAGTTTAGAGTAGACTTAGCAAAAGTCAATTTCACGATTTTCCATTCGTTGCCCTGACCTATCAATTGACTGCAATTACTGCAAATCCTGTATCAATAACTTCCAGGATGCAGTCTTGGACTGATTAGTAGTAGATAGTGATTAGACAGAGTGACTATTAGTGACTGACAAGTATCTACAGATAACCAAGATGTAACGATTTACTAGGTGTACTATTTTTAGACTTCCCCTACTGACACTACCACTGCATGACCCTGTATGCCATACCCAGAGTCTGGCGAATTACAGATTTCATTGTAGCTCACTCAGAAAATCAGATCTGATAGTGCGATTTCAGACAGGCTGAACACTGAATTGTTCACTAGGGACTGACAAAACTGAATTATGACGGACATAACCAAAGTTATGACAAACCCTAGCCTGACCAAGCTTCAGCTATGGCAGCGCAAAATTCAAATTTCCATTATCATTGACGGTATGACCCTGAACAATCCAAATCATAGTATAGTATGAATCGCAACACTGTAAAGCAGTCACAAATAAAAATTGAGTCAGAGAGAGGGTAATACTGGGTTAGCAGAAGTCAACGAAGATAGGAAGGAGAAATTGACCCTAGCTGTCTCACAGTCTGCATTTCAATTTTCTACTGTCTACAGACTGACAGGCCAAATTTCGCTAATCTAAAAATAGCCCCAGAATCGCCACACAAAGTAGACTAAAAGGAACACACTTACTTTAGGGACTTCTCTGAAGGGGATGGATGAAAACCTGGCTATGGTTGTCTGCTGAGACCCATCTCGCCAGTTTCTTCTCCCAATGATTCCCAGTGTTCCCACGTACAGGACCTTCTATATACACATTCAGTGAATCTGGAATCCCAGATGCCAATCACTGAGAAACTCTATGCAGCACTGCTTCAACCTGCACAGCGCTGCTTGGGAACTGGGGATCTTGACCCAATCTCAAAATTGCAACACTCTGGGGGTCACTTCCTTGCAAATCGCCAGTTCCAGATGAATCGCCAGCCCTATAAATAACATACTCTGAGCGTCTCAAGCCTCTAAGTATCAATCGCCACTCACTTTTGTGGAACCCTAAGCAGAAGTGCATCACCCTCTGCCTAATACTTCTCGCCACACACTCGCCACCACCACCCTCACTGTCGCCAACACAAAAGATGACAAATCGCCATGAAATTCAACTCCAGTTTCTCGCCAGATGATGGTAGTTGCTCCAACTCCTCTTTGCATCACTAACTGGATCCAATCGCTCCAATACCAACTATTATGAACCTGGTTGCTTGTTGTCAAAAGAACAACACTCACTCACATAGACTTCCAGGTGTGCCCATACATACACAGAAGGAAGGGGACAGGATGGGAGTATCACACCGCACAGGGAGAGAGAAACACAGTGGAAGACTTAACCATGCGATATGATAGAGTACACTAAAAGTGCAATTCGCTCAACAGAATCCTCACAACCAGTTACAAAGGAAAGCCGGGTAGATCACATCCAGAAAAAAATGAAGCAAAAATAGTCGACACACAGTAGCAATATTGTTTATTAAACTCATAACATCGTTTTGTCATAATTGCCCCAGAACCATGTTGCACTGCTCAGAAATGAGCAGCGCTTCTTCCCCCAACCCTGAATAACCGCTATCACTACCCTTGAGTCCCTGAAACAACCAGCACCACCCGGATACTGCCTCTAGAGGGAAGCGCCAACATGAAACAGGCCTCTGAGGCCAAGCGCCCCTCAAAGGATGAATAAGAAGACCAGCGCCCGCAGGCACTAATGATGATGAAGTGTCGAAAGACCTTCCGGATGGAAATCTGCAGCAGGGCCACCTCTCCTGACAAAGATGATATGTGAGGATGAAAGCTGCAGCTTTGGCTGCAACGCCACTCCCTGATACTTTACTCCTGAGGAGGGTTCAGCAAGACACCAACTTATGTTGCCTCCAACAAACTTCATTTAACCCGGACCTCTAAACAGCCTCACATGCTGCCAGAGAACAGAGCAGGTGACAACTATGGCCGAAACTTCCAAGGTCCGTCTATGTCTGTCTCCCCCAATGCTGAAACGGTCACCACTCCAGTTCCCGCGTTGTGCTGTTGCGATGCGCATGGTACCAACTGCCAAAAGCCTTGAAGTTCCTACAATCTATTAATAGAACTACCCTAGCCTAGACTCGACCTAGACCAGACTGTTTGGACCGACCAGTACCGATTCTGTTTCGGCCTCTAGGGCCTTCCCCTACCCGGCTATAGGCTATAGCAACCGTCTAACAGCATAGGCCTCACGGCATGTCTGTCCTAGTGATAGCCCGAGCCTGCTAATCGTAGTTAGGGTAGCTTTAGGAAATTCGAGGTAGTCTGGCCTGCAATTTACCCAAATTTACAGATATGTCCCTCACGAACTTTCCTCACAGTAAGATATCTCGGTTAGCCCTCAGCCAAACAAAATAACAAATCTAACCTACCTATGTTACAACCTCGGGTCGACAGGTCGCAGGCTGCAGAATCAGCAAGTCGTTGGAAGAAGCCTAAACCGATGTCCTCATCCTATCTATAACCTACACTAGCCTAGACACGGCCTAGACCGGACTGACTGGATCGACCGGTAGCGTTTCGGTTTCGGCCTCTACGGCCTCTCCTTACCCGGCTATAGACTATAGGACCGTCTATCAGCTTAGGCCCATAGGGCCTGTCTGTCCTAGGGGTAGCCCGGGCCTGCTATTCGCAGTTAAGGTAGCTGTAGGAAATTCTAGTTAGTAAGGGCCTATATTTTCTTGAATTTGCAGATATGTCCCTCTCAAATTTTCCTTACAGGCAGGTCTCTCGGTTAGCCATCAGTCAAACAAAATTAGTAAATTACGAATCTGTCCTACTTATGGTACAGCTCGGGAACCAGCAAGTCATTGCAGACGTCTTGGGGAATCCAAAAAACAACAGATGAGACCTTTTGATCCCTCCTACTTGATCACAATGCCACCGCTGCCACGACATGGTAAGAAGCCATATTCCCACGCAGTGAGAACTGTTCATCACAATATCAGATGTAGCCATCTGAACCGTCGAAAAAGTTATTTTTTAATGGGTGATACTGTGTCATAATAACTTGGCTTTAAGAACCAGGCAAACATAATTTCGAGTGTTTGAGTGCAACAGAAACACTGAATAGGAATTGAAGGTGTTGAAAAAAACGGCGTGTGGCATGGAGTTCCTTTATTCATTAATCATTCTGGGAGCCAGGCGAAGGCAGGTGGCAACGGGGGTGAAATTTGAGCTTACCTGTGTTTGCAGTCGTGTCTTGATAACATCAAAAGGAGTTGTGAAAAACGCAGCTGTTGACCCTGCAGTGCCTCCTATCGCAAGCTGCACAATTGGACGAGAAAATTGTTCTGTTATGATCTTGATCAACTTCAAATTCAAAACTCAATTTTGAGAGGATGCAAGACAAAAGGGAGGAAATATATGAGTTTGAACCAATGTCATCTCTCTCTCTTCTCTGTAACTGATCTTCTTCTCCTCAATTAATAATCAACAATTACTCACGACAGTTAATGAATGAAAGAACAAGGATCATGTCCAAGTAATCCACCTTTCTACTAGTACTCAAAGAGATTCCTTCCGGCCTCTCTCTCTCTCTCTCTCTCTCTCTCTCTCTCTCCTTGGTTGCAAACTAGCTACGGAGGAACATCATTGAGCATCGTGGATGTTCAAAGGTCATTGCAACTAGTAACGTGCCTCTCCTGACCCATGCTGTTACGGACTCAGCCAGGGCTCGATCCCTGGTCCGCGGGTTACCACCCACCAGGCTTTTATTCTATTTTTTTTGAGTCTCTGATCTTCGGTTCCTAACGGTTGGCGCCCTCTGCAGTTGGCGCCCGTTCTCAAATCCCCCCTCTGGCACTTTCGGATTTCGATACTTGGCGTCCTCCGGCATTCTGGCGCCCAGGCTCAGACCTTCGATTTTCAGTTCAGCCCCGAGGCAAATTGCACTTCTGCCCTCGGACTCAACTTGAGTCCGGTACTTAAGACCGAACTCAAGATGAGTTCGCGCATTCAGTTTTCCGCCTCAGTGCTTGTGCTTCAGTGTGACTTGCTGCGACATTGTGTACGAAACCAAGATTGAGACTTTGCGACTTTGCGCCTTTGCCACTTTGTGTCTGCGTCTGTCGAGTCGTGTCTAGTCCATGTCAAGTTGAGTGAGTGTGTGTGTGTGCTCTCACTGCCTCCCTCTCTCTTCCTCGACCTCGCTGCTCTATCTCAACCACGTCACACAGGTATCGGAGCGGCAAACGGCCCTCCCTCCCCCTCCCTGTTCCGGCATCGCCATCGTCATCATCTTCGTCATCGTCATCGCCGCCGCGTCATCACCATCGTCATCTTCGTCGTCATCATCGCTGCCACGTCAGCACCTCGTACCTGTCGTCGCAGCCATCGCCACATCACACCTCGCTGCCTCCGTCGTCGTCGCGTCCACTCCACCGATCCCAAAGTCGGCGCGCAGATAAGTGCCCAATAAACTTCTTTTCTCTTCTTCTTCCTCGTTTCTTCTTTTTCTTGTTCTTCTTCTTCCTCCTCATCGACATCATCGTTTTTCCTTTCTTCCTCCTCCTCGTCATCTCTTCTTTCTCCTTATCATTGTCGTCCTCCTCGTCCCTTCCTTCCCTTCCCCCTCTTTCTTCCCCGTTCCCGACTCCCGATCCCCGCGCGACTCCCCGCGCGATTTCCCGTGCAATCCCCCGCATGATCTTCGCGACCTTCCACTGCCCCCACACGCTCTGTTTTCCCCCCTCCGTATGTTGTCGTTCCCCCCTCGCGCGCTATTTTCCCCCGCGACCGTCGTCATCTCCCCACACCCCCCCCATGCGATCCTCTTCTTCTCCT